TTTTTAGTTGTCCGATTAATTTCTTTCTAATTTTAGTAGAGACGGGGTCTCGCTCTTGCTCAGGCTGGTCTCAAACTCCTGAGCTCAAACAATCCACCCGCCTCGGCCTCCCAGAGAGCTAGGATAACAGGCGTGAGCCACCGCACCCGGCCGATACCCAATTCTTAATCATGATCATTGTTAGCTCATAAGCTTATAAATCTAAACACAGTGGTTAGACTGTTTTCTAAGAAAATATGATCCTGTGAGCTAAATCAAAACTGTTTGGCATTCTTTTTCATGGCACACATTCCTATAGGAATTCCTGGTGCGAAATCATTATTTAAGGACAAAATGCTAGTATTGGGGAAATATTGCTTTCTCATTTGTTTGCTTTTTAAAAAAGTTTTAATCTCTTTCCATTTCAACATTGCTATTTTCATTCTGTACCTTATATATTTTAAAACAACTCTCCTATAGCATTCATTTCTATTTATTAACTCTGTTGTTAATTCTTCTATGTTTAAATTTCTAGATTTAATAATCAAACGAATGATTTTTATTCGAAGTAATGAACATGCAGTTTTAGGGTCTGCTTAGTCACATAGTCTAAATTATCAAATTTAAGCTATGGCTGTCCTAAATGTCAGATTAGAACTATACTACTTCTTTTTATTTTACTATAAAAAGCTCCCTATTAACCATCCAAACTTATTCATTATGTACTCTACTATATATAAAATATATAAAATATAATTTTAAGAAAAATACCATCTAATGTCTAATATACAATGCATATTAATGTACAATTTAATGTCTAATGTACACTTTTCTCATGAGACTTTCATTCTTACTTAATCCATCCTCTTTTTAGTACAGTACACATATCAGCAACTGTGCTTCCGTCTTCCAATTCAAAGGTGCTCTGTTTGACCTTTTCCAGATCATACCTAGCAGACTGGCTGGGAAATGCCATGTGTATGAGTGTGAATTTGAGGGTGGGAAGGCATGAGGAGGGTGTCTAGGGATTAAGTGCTTCTCAAACAGTTTTTCCTTGGTCCTCCTTATGGTAGCCCCACCTTTATCCTCGAGTCCAGAAATGCCTGGTACTGTCAATCCCATGCCTTTTCAAGATTCCAAAGAGTAAATTGGGTTGTTTTTCAGTTTTCTCCATTGCTACTTAGGGTTTTTAACTTTCTCATGTGTTCTAAGTCAGTTACCATTCATTTGCTTTCTAGCTTCCAAACTTTTAAGTTTATATCCTTCCCAGAACCTTTGACCAAACATGTAATATATTTGGGATACATTTATTTCTTTGGTCTCAAAAGTTTATTTTATTTTTTAATAGCTCTGTTAATGAATGTATGTGTTGGTGCAGGGTTTACAATCTCAAATGTGTATAGGGGACAGGCAGGTGGTCTGGCTGCTCTCACGGGGTCAGAACCTTGGCCAGGTCAGGGTCAGAAATAATTAGTTAAGTTTGGGAGAATCCAGAGCAATACAACTGGTGTGTTTGCTCCTGGCCAGGAGACAGCGGCTACAGTAGGGTAGGAGGTAGGGTAGGTGTGACTTGAGGGGGTGAGACACAGGGCCTGAGAGTTTCCAACCTGTGGCTTCTGCACCTTTTGACCTTGAAGAGACAGTTTCAGAAGTTCTCATGTGTCCCCAGTGAGGAGCGTGGAAAGGCGGTGGGAGATGCCAGTCAGGGGCATTGCCACGGGGCCACCTTGAGTGAGAGGCAAGGGAATGTCACGGGGAGCCCACATGGCAGAGTGCCTGGGTTGGGGCCAGGTGGAGTGAGCGCGCGTCTGACATACAGAGGGTCTTTGATTGCAGGGAAGGCCGAGCTGAGAGTTTTGGAGGTGGGAGTGGAGATGGGTTACTGCCTGGCCCCAGCTATGTCAAGAAAACAGACCACAAGTGAACCCATGGATTTCAGCAGTGGATACAAGCAGGACTCCAGGAAACCAGCGCCTGTGCCTTCCTTAGGAGGCCCCTAAATTGGCCCCCGCTGGAGATGCCATCTTGGGAGGGAGGAAGAGGCAATGGTGAACCCCTGAGCAAGGAGCCACAGGCCTGAGGGATGTCAAACCTTCAATTTGACTGAATACTCATCTGAAAGAGACATTTAAATTGAAAGAGACTGTGTCAAAGCTGAAGAAACTGTTTTGATTTGAAAGAGACTGAATTACCTTTAACTAGCAAATTTAAATGTCCCTCCTAGCAGCAGAAATTTGGGGCTCAAAGACAGAGTACATGAGTGCCATGACCGCTGCAAGAACACCAGAGGCTGCAGCCAAATACCACGGGTTGCTATGTTTTTCCTTTGTGAAAGTGATGTCTTCTGAGCTTTCATCTGCTAAAGATTATTCCCTCTTTGGAACGAAACCACTAGTCCCACGGTTGCATTGCCATTAGAATATGCCTGGGATAACCTGCAGAATGATGAGAGATGTGGGAAACAGAAACAAGTTGCCCATCACCCTAGTCATCCCAGCCCAGGACATCTTATATGCGTGGACAGCCACCTAGATCCTAGATATGTGAGAGAACCCAACCAATATCAACAAAACCTCTAAAAACCATGTTAGACACATGAGCAATAAACACTTGTATGCCAAAAAAAAAAAAAAAAGATAGAGTACATGAGTTATAGAAACTGGAAAAACCACATTTTTCTTAAAACATTTGAGTTGTTAGTGTACACATCGAAATATGATTGGGCCCTCTCATTGAAATGTCGACGTTATCTGAATTCATTGAATGCCACTCCGTTAGGTATTTTAAAAATGTTTTATGTGTTTATTATGTTTGTTGCATCCAGTGGCATAATTGTTCGAATACGAAACTAAAGAAATTCAGGGAATTTCTCCCGACATGCACTGTAATAGTTAAAACAGTTACAGACAACTATAGATTATGTTAGAATACAAGATTGTTATTTGGTATTTACCACAATCACAGAATCAACTTGTCGAGGAAAGACAATTAGACTCACTCAAATATCTTGATGTTGACATGTTTGATGCCGTAATATACATGTAAATTGTGGCGTGTGACATACAAAAGTTATTGCTTTAAATGTCATTATTGCTAGGCCCAAAGATAAAAAGAGTTGCAAAACATAGGTAAATGTATGTTTCTGTCATATAGCTGGCATCTGCCTCCCATTTCTTTGCCTCAATACACAATGAAATAAACGTCTAAAAGCCTCGGCTTCAGATTTGGAGTCGACAGTCTGCGAGATCCTCTGCCCAAAGCCATGAAATTCTTCCTGTGTGAGTGCGCGTGGGTGCGTGCGAGCCAGCCTCACCCGCAGGGCCTAAGCTTTGGGATACAGAGTGACCGTGTCATAGCCCTCGGGGGGCCGCGTGCGGGCTCTCGCGTGGGTTTCGCAGTACAGCTCCCCCTCCACGAAGAAGTAGCCCTTCTGCTTGAGGTTGAGGTTGCAGTCGGCGCACACGAAGCACTCGGGGTGCCGGTACTTATCCCGCGCCTTCACGACGGCACCGCTGTTGGGAAAAGTGAGCTCTAGTGAAAAAGCCACAGAGCACAAGCACGACACAAAGGGAGAGAACACTCCAGACAGGAGCTGCTGTCTGTTGCACAGTCAGGAGGCAATAACCTCCAGCCGTAAAAGCGCGCACAGCTGTGAACGGTACTTGTCACAGAGAGTCTGGATAACCATAACAAACCGTCATGTTTCTGATGATGTGTGAATATTTTTCAGATTTCCAAACACGTAGTTTATGAAAAACGTGCAGGATTCTACTGCATGATCTTTCCCCATCCTTTCTTTGAAAGAGGGAGACATGATACAGTTAAGACAAACACCTCTGCAAAAGAGCTGATTTTGCCCAGCGCTGTTCTGGACTCACTGCAAGTCCCCTGATTGCTTACTGTCTGGGTGGTCCAGCCTCTGTTCTACGGAGCACAGAGAACAGATCAACAGCAGAGATGGGATTCCCACGGAGTGGGTGGACTCGCTTCTACTGTCAAAACAGTTCACTCCAAGTTAGGCCCAATAATTGCTTTTGGTAACATCATGCACACCGTATTCTGCTGAGGTCTTCTCTACTCACAGCTTCCTGCCTTACTGTGTCCTTTTGGTTCCCCATTCCCTCCTTTGCCCAATCAAGGCCTGTCTTGCACTGCCCTCATGGGACGTTTGCTGGGTAACAGGAGAGAGGGTGCCTCAGTGTGTGAGCTGATGGCAGGGGGATAGAATAAGGGATGGAGGAAGTAGCCACATGGCCACGTGGCACATATGCAGTGGAGAGATTAGAATGATCTCAGTTGACTTGAAGATTTAAACTAGCAAGTACGGCAATTTAAATATAAAGCCCCTTGCAACAAAAGTTGACTATATTTTTTCAAATTATATTTCAACATTTGTGTAACCAAGAAGTCGGGTAAAGATAATGTGTTTTAATTAACAACCTCATGATCCCTGTATCTGTTTTCCTGGGTTTATCCAGAAAGGGAAGTATTCAATGACCACATATTAACAGAGGCAGGGCTTTTTAAAGCGAAGCAATTCTTGGAAATGATTTTTTAATATACTTTGGGAGCAGTTTTTTTTCATGAGAGTGTATCTGAAATTATAAGTCAAGATTGCTGATTTACGTTAAATGGCAATTTGGAAGTACATCTAAGGAACGCTGGTCACAAAGTGCTAAATGTTGGGGACCTTATATTTCAAGCTGATGAATAGAAATTTAAGTTTTTCATAATGGCCTTTTGTATATAAAGTCTTAAAGTAGAAGAAATGGAGAACTGCCACCCAGATCTGCAGTGAGTCCCTGGGTTAAACGTGAAACTTACACGATGCCACTCCCACACTTGTCACAGAACGGCAACTTCTGTGCACCACCAGCACCTCCGTGCGCTTTTGTAACCGGAGCTCTCACACTCCGCGTTCCAGCAGGACGGTCATCTGAAAAACAAAGTGTTTCCATTTATGGCAGGGGAACAGCTGGCTATGGTTTGTGCTTTGCTTCTATTTTAAAGTGTGCACTTTAACCTAAGGAATTCTTAAGTTGCATCTGCACTATCTTTCCAAAAGAAGCAAGCAAAGGAGACTCTGAAACAAGGCCTTACAAAACAGAATTAGTTCAAACATTTTGCTGTTGGAGGGAGCTGTTATAAAATGCTCAAAGGAGCAGAGGGCATTGTTCATTTTCTCTTTTTTTTCTTGTTGTGGTAAAATACAGATAACATAAAATTTACCATTTTAATCACTTTTAATTGTGTAACTCAGTGACATTAAGTACATTCACAATGTTGTGCAACCACTGTCGATATCCGTTTCCAGAACTATTTCATCACCCCAAACAGAAACTCTGTACCCATCAAACAACAACTTCCATTCCCCCTCCTTATAGCCCCTGGTAACCTCTTTCCTACCTTCTGTCACTATGAATTTGCCTACTCTAGAGCTCTTCTATAAGTGGAATCATATAGTATGTGGCATTTTGTGTCTGGTTTCTCTCCCTCAGTGTAACATTTTTAAGGTTCATCCATGTTGCAGCATGGATCAGAATTTCATTCCCTTTTAAGACTGAATAATATTCCACTGTATGAATTTACTATGTTTTGTCTATCCACTCAGTCAGGTTTTTCCCACCTTTGGGCTATTGTGAATAATATGAACATGGGTGTACAAGGATCTGTTTGAGCGCCTGCTTGCAATTGCTTTGGGTACGTATCTGGAAGTGGAGTTGCTGGATCCTATGGTAATTCTATGTTTGACTTTTTGAGGGGCCCCCATGCTGTTTCCCACAGCGGCTGCGCCATTTTGCCTTTCCATCGGCCATGCACAGGGGTCCCATTTCTCCGTATCTTCACCGATACTTGCTATTCTCCATTTTTTTGATAGTTGCTATCCTAATGGGACATTTTGCATTTTATGTGGCTTTTAAGGGACAGTATGTACCTTTTGGGCAAATAATAGCACCTACTTCACAAGTTACTGTGAGGATTAAATGATACTGTATGCAAAGTACTTAGCACAAAATTTGGAACATAGTGTACCTAGCTCTATGAACAAATTTCAATGACCCCTATATGGTTTTTTAACAATCCTCTCCCTCTCACGTTTTAGATTCTCAGACCAGTAGGGCATGAAGACCAGAACTCTGAAACTTTTAACTAACTACCTAACCTTTCTGAATTGTTGCCCAGAAATGGAATTTCTGCAAGACAAGGAGCTGAGATTCTCACAGCCCCTGAGCAGACTTCTGACACCAAGACTGACTATCCCCAACAACCTGCTGTAAATGTGCTGTCCCCTGTTAATTACACCACAAGCTGCCCCAGTGTACACAGCCCCTCCTTCAAAATCCCGAACTCTCCCTTAGTTGGGGAAACAGATTTGAGGCAGCTCCTCCCGTTCTCTCAATAACACGTCTTTCCTCTTTTTTTTTTTTTTTTTTGGGACAGAGTCTCACTCTGTTGCCTGGGCTAGAGTGAGTGCCGTGGCGTCAGCCTAGCTCACAGCAACCTCAAACTCCTGGGCTCAAGCGATCCTCCTGCCTCAGCCTCCCGAGTAGCTGGGACTACAGGCATGTGCCACCATGCCCCGCTAATTTTTTCTATATATATTTTTTTAGTTGTCCAATTAATTTCTTTCTATTTTTAGTAGAGACAGGGTCTCTCTTGCTCAGGCTGGTTTCGAACTCCTGAGCTCAAACAATCCGCCCGCCTTGGCCTCCCAGAGAGCTAGGATTACAGGCGTGAGCCACCGCGCCCGGCCTCCTCTTAAAAAAATTCCTTTCTTCCTTGGTGACCCTCATCGTCTCAATAATCAGATCTTTGAGTGGGGAGCAACTGGACCTAGGCTGAAACCCCCTGTGGTTTTGCTGACAGTAGTAAGGGTTCATTACAGTGTTATTTTTTTGATGATGATGATACCCTAAACTGTGTAGGGGGGAAGCTGAGAAATTTTGCAATATCCATTTAAAACTGTATCTCATGGTTCATTGGCTGAGCTAACCCTTGACTCCCCTGGATGGAATTTGTCTTTGGTGTCCTTTTTTTGACTGGTTTCAGTTGGTGGCTACTTGGACACGTCCTGGAAGCTCCTTTCCTAAATGAGGCACCACCAGAATCCTTCCGAGCAAAGATTCACTTGTTACTGATGAAAATCAGGCTGACGTTCATTCCCACTATGTTTGCCACCCTCTCCCCACCCCCATCCAAGGGCCACTATCAATAATGTTTTAGCAGGCCGCAGCGGCTGCTCACCAGGGCCATCGTTCACCATCTCCTGGAGCACCCTGAAGGAGCCTGACTGGCGAGGCTGAGAAGGCTCATCCCGATTGTCGTGGAGCATCCGGTACACGTCCGACTGGGGCGGCACCGAGGCTGTGGATTCACTGAAACACAAGCACGGCCGGCAAAGCGCGGTCAGGGCGCTGGGATGCCGCGGATACCCGTGAGCAGCAATCACAGCAGTCGCTCTAGGTCCAGCAACTCCCGAACGGAGAGCTGGTATTTTCAAGTGAGTTTCTATTATAATTAAAAATACAATGTGAATTCACACGGGTTGCCTTAAACGTGTCATGAGCAGTAAACCTGGGAGTCACATCAGCACTTCTCCATTTGGCAAAATTCTTTGGAGGGAAACTAGAAGATGATTGCTAGCAAATAGTAATTTTAAAAAAGCAAGACTTGTGTCTAATGGATATAGAATTATAGATGTGAACAAAATTAACTTTTCTAAGAAAAAAGACAAAATATTCAGGATAGAAAGTGCAGGAGTGAGCCCAGTTTGATTATTCTCAGTCACAAAGTTGTCAATAAAATTCAGATTCACTTTTGATATTAAACTAAAAGTATATGGTTTAATTTTGTTTTTAACGTTAATTTGTTTCATTAACCTTTGGAAATAACAAAGGTATCATTTTACTTGCAAATTGAAGAAATTCAACTTCTCAGAAAACCCATAATGTAAAAACTTTCATTTTTACGTCTATTATATTAACTATACTGTATTTTTAAAATAGCCACATTAAAATTCATTTACAATAATTATAGTAGCTTTATTTTAATATGCTTTCTACAAATATATTCATGATGAATAAAAATTATAATGCTACACCAGAGACTAAATATTATTTTGTCATTTAATTGTATTATCTAGAAAAGATAGTTGCTATCTATACATATCTTTAATACCTTCATCATATTTGAAAATGATCTTCCTATCTAAAATTCTTTACAAAATGGCTTTGAGATATGTTAAACTATTATTGTTAATAGCTCAATGTATTTATCCCAAGAGATATCTTCAGGATATTATTACATAGCACTCTTAAGCATTATAATACTATGATTTGTAAAAAGTGATTCTGTAATAGTGAAAGAAGTAATAAGATTTTATCCTATAGTTAGTCTTTTTAGTCAAAAAAGCTTGATGGCAAAAATACTTTGAACAAATAGTCATAAAGAGAAAATTAGTCAAAATGAGCCCAGTGAAAATTAAATATCTACACTAATAGCCTGAGGGTATTCACTTATAAACCTTTATGCATGATAAATATTTTAAATGGAAAAAATAATTACCTCTTCACAAGATGCCATCAGAATAGATAATAGGTATCATCTCTTATAAAATTCCTCTAAACCTCTCACCCCCTTCCTAATTTTTGACTCCCCAAGGACATATTATACTCTAAGACAGAGTATACTAGATTATAAATCAATTTTGAGAAGTATTAAAACAGATATTTGTAAAATACACTGCAGCTTTCAAGAGACATATACATTTCATCCTTACATGGTCTCATTTTATTGATCTCTGTCACATAAAGCTCCACTTAGATAATCTCTCAAATCACTTTTATCATCAGGCCTAGATAGTTGCAATAAATCCTTTGTATTTTTAAAAAGCTTTTCACATAGCTTTCTTTCAATCAAGACAATGTTAAAAGACACCAGTAAAGCTGACATTGCCCACGTGTTTAGTTAACATGCCCATGGTTCAAAAAGACTCATATTACCTCATGACGGGTGTTTCCCCTAGAGCTGTTGAAACCTGACCCTGAAGTGTTTCCATAATATTGTCATCTGAGTACAACTGCATAGGTGTATTAAACTGAGCATGGACAATCTTCACACCGGGAAGTTCCATTTCCAAAGGAATGTTAGGGGCCATCTTAGCAGCAACTTTCAAGTCACCTGGGCAAATGGTACTAACAGTACTGACAGAAGAAGGCGTGCTGCGTCCACTGCCGCAGTCAATACCGGAGGGAGTGCTGCATCCACTGTGTTAATGACCATGTCACACAGAGGTGGCACAGAGGACCAGAAAATCCAGACAGAAGAACACAGAGAACAAGTGCAGAGAGGTTAAAAGGAATAGAACACAATCAGTAAGAAGTGAATTTTATCAAACTAAAATGCAATGTTTATTTCCAGCTAGAGTTTATTTTAAAAAGTGATGTTGAAAAATTCATGATTGAAAAAAGTTTAATAAAATTAAAGGGTACAGGTGACACTGCATTTTTTGGCTCTGTTCTGCCCATCGATATGTAAGTTGAGGATCACATGTAGAAAACCTTGCATATACAGAAGCAGAAAAGATGCCACCATCCTCACTTTTTAAAAATAGGCCAAATGATGTAAAATTTGATGCTATCACAGACAAATGATGGAGGGAAATTACACTGGCTGGACATACTTTTACACTTCTGAAGCACAATATGTGAAATTAAAGTATTAATGATACTTCATAAATAGTAACAGAATATGCCGCATGAAGATCCAATCAAATATTTAGGTTGCACATTTCAAAATCAGAAGCATGTTTCAATAATGCAATTGAACCTTAATTAAATAGTAATTGGCAACTTGTAGGTTATATGGTAAAGATTATGTTTTATGGCTATTTTGTATATAATTTATTATTACTATTTCAATATTTTCTATTTTTTTCTTTCATTTTATAAAGAATACACTTTAAAGAACTGTTCATTGGTTTAATACAGGCCCTAGAAACAGCCAATAAATGCTTGTCACCTTGAAATTAATGATTAGAGGGCAAATAAGTTGGTCTTGGACTCTCTGGATGCTATCTAGGGCTAAGATATATTTTTTATACATAGACATTTCATGTAAAATTTCAGAAGCACACATATATTTCCATGCATAGTTCTCATTTCCTTTTAAAGACAAGTTGCAGGGACTTATTATTAAAATATCAGAAAGGTCAGTCATGCAAGTTTAAGAACTAGGAAGATTTTATATTCTACATGAACCTGGATAGGAGGTCAGTTACAGCCGACATGCCAATGACTAAAAAGTCATTTTTCTATGTGCATTTTAAGTGCAACTTGAGAGATGCATTTTTATGAGAAATTGGAATATACTAAGAGATTTTTTAAAAGTGTAGTCACTTAAGAGAAAGCAAAATGAAATATTATTATTAACATAAACACGCATCATGCCTGCCAGTTAGAGTGCAGTTAGAATGGATTTATATGGTGTGTTTCTCTCAGGTCTGAGGATGGCCCCATGTCTGTATTTACTCTCTAGAATTATTCATGCTAACTTCAGCCCCCCAAACCAAAAGGATATTGGACAGTGATTTTTTTTGACTTCATCAATATTGCAGCCTGATTAGCCTCAACAATACATGTCACTAAATGGATTTAAAAACATGTTTTGTCTCATGTTACCTGGCGTAACTACCTACACAGCCGGGACCAGGCAGATAAAAATGGGCTTGCTCCTTCACTTCCTGGCTGTTGAGAGCCTGTTTAGAACTCAGTCTGTGTATTGGTTAGATCGCATACCAAAAAGTCGAGAGGCCTATTCACCATTTTTGTAGGCTCAACACTACCCTAGCTCTCGTAGTTGACTTCAGTTGGTAAAAGAGTAGAAGCAAATTCTCAGTTGTAGCGTACTTTAGACAGGATCATATTGATTTGACCTGGGTGTAATGAAGCGTATGAAATTATAGTTTAGGGATTTAACACATTGAGTTAAATCTTCAGAGACTTTGGGCTTAAAATAGTGAACCTCCCCGACAAGCATGTATGACTCCTCTGACTCCTCTGTGTGCCAGGCATAGTTTTGGAAACCAGATAAACTATCATCAATTTGGAACTTACGAATATACCTTATCTTATAGTTGCAATTAAATCTTTTTCCATTGTTAGTGTTCTTATATATATTCATGTTTGTGTACATAATTTTAGTTAAGCTTGCAAAGATTGTCTCTTCTATTTCCTAGTTCCTTTATCATTCCATTTAGGGGCCCATGTCTATTAAACAGATAGGGATTAAACCCAAAGCAAACAAGAATGACTTTTTATAAATTTCTGGTACAATTTTAAAAGTCTCTTGAACTTTAGTCCCTGTGGAAGTTATGACAGGTCCCCACAACATGTTCCTGATGAACTGGAAAGGTGGTTGCTGCTCATGAGGCTTCCTGAGGTTGGCTTACTCGGTGAGACCACCCATAAGGTCGATGATGTGCTCAATTACTTCATGTCCAGATAGCTCATTCGATAGAGAATTAATTTCCCTGGGGTGTGAACAGACTTTTTGGGGGCAATGCTTCTGGGAGAAACTTGTCCAAAAACCACTCGCAGAATTGTATTTTATCAGTTAGATCTAAAGTACCTTGTATATATTTTTAATTATAACTTTAGCCTTAACATTTCTGTATATTTGCATATAAAAACACCAGTCTTTTAAAATGTTTCAATTATGATGAAGTAATGAAAAGAACTAATAGCAAAACCCCAGGGAGATTAATAGGTTAAAAATTTAGCATGTCCAACTTACTTCTGATTAAAGAAATTGTCCATTAATAGTACAGTTACAGGGTGACTAGAATTAACAATACTTAATTGTATATTTCAAAATATCTAGAGCAGTGGATTTGGAATGGTCCCAACACAAAGAAATGATAAAGGTTTGAGACGATAGATATCTCAGTTACCCTGATTTGATCACTATACATTGTATGCTTATATCAAAATATCACATGTACCCTTCAAATAAGTACAACTATTTCTTTCCCATATACATTTAAATATTTTAAAAATGGTGTAGTTATAGCTTTATATGTAGCCACTGCAAATTCCACCTAGACGAAGAATCGTTTGGTGGGAACAAGAAATTCAGAAGCAAGGAGGGATGATAGAGGCATTTTCAGAGTTAAGGTTAGTGCACTGACATTTGTTTTTTAAGCAAACCCTGTCATTCTTGTTCCTCCCCTCCCCTCCTCCAAATTCAGCTATATTAAAAGGTACCCTCAAATGACAAAATTAGTAGTGGCTTGGCATATTTAAATTAAAATGAAAATATACAAGAAAGAGATTATATACTTGGATCTCTCTGACTTTCCCTGACTTTTTGTAAACTTCAATGCATTATAGGTGTTTAGCAAAGACAGGATATGTGCTACTCTACTGTGTCATTTTATTCAAGCCTCCTGAAGTCCTATAGCTTGAGTTAGTGGACTTAGTCATGCTAACCTCAAAAGAATGCAAGTACTTGTGATTAATTTTACTATGCTTCTTTGGGAAGTATTAATACATATATTTATTCACCAGTAAAATAACATTTTAACTTTTAACCCAGTGTTGTTATGCTATTGGGCATGCGATGGAGTGGAAAAGCTATTAAAAGTGGAGAAACGGGAAAGATGCAGAGGAAAACAGAATGGGAACAACGGAACGAAGAGAAGTAGAAAGGAACTTTGCCCAGTTGCAAGCCAGAGGGAGGGATGATAGCTCCGGATTCTTCTTGCTACTCACTCAGGAAATATTATTGGGTACTTTTAAGATTCAATTCCTTTATTCAATGGGCCTTTATTGAGCATTTATTTTGCCTATTTATAAATGTTCATTTATCGAGTGTTTATTTTGTCTAATTTCTGGGTGCTGGGGACATAATGCTGAATGTCAGACCCTGCAGGTCTGGAGCTCACATTCTCGGGGGGAAGATGTATTTGGTCATCATTGCCTTTTTAGCTTATTTTTCCTGCTCTTCCACGCCAGGGCTCTTTGCTGGGTCTGATATCACAAACAGTGCCTGGCTTATTTTAAGGCAATTCTCTGGCGCTGCCTCTGGTTTATCAAAAGGTCTTAACATGGAAGTCATCTATGAATATCAAGTGATGACTGACCATCCACAGCAGGAGCCATAAGCCCAGGAGCCTGCAGGGGACAGGAGGGTCACCCATGTATGAAAATGCCCCTCTCACACTTAGGAGAGATGGGCATTTGGACAGGCTGGTGAGTAGCTGTCCCATCTAAGGGTACTTACATTCAATCTTTTAAAAAACAACAGGAGGGTTCAATAAAACATGTCTATGAGTTGAATCCACCTACGGGCCACCAGTGTGGGACGTCCGATGTAAACCATTATTCAACGTCCCGTCAGGATCAATCTGGCCTAACCACCGACTTCCCCTGGCTTCCCCTGGCTGGCTGAGCTGAGGTCAGAGGGATGGATTTGAGATTTCCTGCAGTCACTATGTCCTGATGTGGCAATACAGGGCATTAATTTCTTTCCGCTTAGGTTGGAGTGCAATTTCTAGAGAAGATATTTGAAAAGGATCATCTGAAGAAGACCAGCTTCTCTGCCTGACAGGCAAGAATGAAGAGCTCATTCATTATTAGCAGAGTTCTTCAGTGCTGTCCATGCAGAACCGAGATACTTCCCTCCCTCTCAACTCTCACTTTATACCTATCTTCACTCAAGTGGGAAAGTACCTCCTCAAGTGTCCACTCTTCCTTCGCAAGGATCCATAAGAATGCAAATTTACATTTACGTAAGAGCTAGAATTAGTGGCATTTGAAGGTGCATGAGAAGCAGGCACTGAGGTGGGCTGACCAGAGTCTTTCAGACATACAAGGCGACACCCCCTTTCACTCGTGTGCCTGGGGGATGGGGAGGTGTGAGGGAGGTTCCATTTTCGTTCCCACTGGCAGGGCCTTCCTGACCTGGGATAGAGTACCTTTGCCTGACTCAAAGGTCACCGTGTTCCCAAAGGAATCCCCACAGTGACAGGTGTATTAGCTATAAATATACGTGATGATTGCATAAAATTTCACAGCTCTGTAATCTTGTCAATATTTACTCTTGGAAATAGAGGTTCTTTGGCTACTGTTCTCTGCTTAAGTGAGTTGGTTCTGTTTTGCTTTTGAAATAAGCTTCACAATGAAAAGCCACTCCACACATCTAAAAGTCGCTTTCCTGGGTGATTAGTAAGACTTATTAACGAAGCGTGCGGGTGAATGGCGGAGGTCGCTTGGTGGGTACAGTGCGCGGGGCTGCAGCGATGCTCTGACGGCCCCGACTTCACCACAACGCAACACGTCAGCGTAGCAAAACTGCACCTGTACCCCTCGAATATACACAAAGTATTATAAAAAAATGAAAAAAAAAAATAAAGCAGCATGCACTCCAAACTTCACAATCTCAGAGTTTATAACCTGCTTCGGCCTGGGATTATGAAAGGTTTGGGCCGAATATTGTGCTTGTGTTCAAAGTAGTTCACATCCTGTAAAAACAAAGGATTAAAAACGTCCCTCAGTGGAAGACGAATTTTTTAAAATAAAATTAAGTGAACGATAACCGTGCAGAGAGGATTATTTACCACCAAATATTGTCATAACTAAGAAGGGTGATGATGGAATCAGAATGATTTCTTCTCTTCAACCATCTAGTCGCTAAATGTTCGGGAACTGGCTGACTGGGCTTTAGAACAATTAGCACCATGTTCTAGATAGATGCCTCCTTTAAAATAAAAAATGTGACAGTGTCTTCAGGAAAGTAAAAACAAAACAGCAAGAGCTGGACTTTTGAAAGGACAAGAAACCGTGCGATCATTGTTAAGTACACCGTGGCCAGGATGGAGAGTCCAATACTTACTTTTGAGGTGAACTAGGAATGAGACCCCGCAGCTGTCCGTGAAGTGCATCTTGGATATTGCTAGTTGAATAGAGCCCAATGGGTGAGTTATAGGAAGCGCTCACTACCTGTCTTTTGTCATCAATGTTTGCTGCTGCAACAAAAGGCTGGGCCCTTCTGTTGTGCGCGGTACCAATGGGTTTGAATTCCTGTACAATGGCAGACAAAATACACAGAGCCACAGTGTACAACAGATCCGTTAATGAGCAGAACGAACAGCATGGCTACTGTTAATAAAGGCTTCTTTACTCACCACAAGATTAATGGGAAGGTTAGAGGAAGAGTTAGCTATAAACCTTTCTATGATTTTCTCTGAAATTTACATGTGCTATATTCATCTGCTAAACGTTAAGGTGCAAAGGAAGGGACCTTATTTAAAATATTATAAAATTATGCAAACATTGTATTATCTCTCTTGTCAGGTTCCTACTGTAGCTTTAAGAAATTCTAAGGACTCATCTGAATATGGAAATTTTGTGTCAGAAATGAGATTTTTGGCTTAGAAAAAATTATTACACTTAACATTTTTTCAAGTAGAACTTCCATATGCTTTCTCTTCTATTAATATCTTGATAATATCATTTCCCCCTATTTTAAGAAGTGGGAGAGTAAAACAGAAGGGGAACGAGCGTTTATGAATAACTATACCACATTGTTTTAACTGATCCGAGTAATAATTCTGTTTTTTGAAAATACCTTCAACAAAAAAACGAAGTTATAATTTGGATTAAGCTATAATCTTCATTTAGAGAAATGCTAAGAATTAAGACTCTTTCTGACAGCAGGAATAACATATGTTTATAGGACCTCCCCCCTATTTTTACTGTGATGATTTCATGTTGTGTCTAAAGGACTCTTCATATTTACTTAGTCCTCAAAAGACTAAAGTCAGTAATTCAGAGATAGCTAATACATATGATTCACAAAAGAATTTTCACTTTATTGCTTGGGGGAAAAGGATCAAACATTAGAGCCCTAAAATCTGGGTTTGAAATATGCCTGAATAATCTGAAACCCTATATTATTATTTTTTGATGTGGGAATAATATTTTACAACTTTTGCATAGATTTATAATTTTGTGAAGCCATTGCAATTTTTTTCTTCAAAGCAATAGAAGAAAACCACAAGACAATGCTAAAGTACACGAGCCAATTCTCTTCCCTAACCTTTCCAGCTGGCAGAACTAGTAAGAGAAATCTTTACAGCAATGTTCTCACTTACACATTCACATCAACCTCATGTACTTTTGTGAATGTGTCACCAGCGTTTCACACAGATGTCGAATAGCATACACAGGTATTATTGTTCAAGATGTTACTGGAAAGAGATCATTTTCATTAAAAAATTAAAAGATCCTGTAAGATTCTTGTTCACGTCATTTTTTTCTTCTTGTCTTTACACATGAGTGAGGTGTAGGATGGTGCTTTTCTATCAAAAAAGAGACTATCTGTCCAGGTGCGGAGGCTCATGCCTGTAATCCCAGCACTTTGGGAGGATTGCTTGAGGCCAGGAGTTCAATACCAGCCTGGGCAACATAGTGAGATCCCGTCTCTACAAAAAATAAAATAATTAGCCAGGCATGGTGGCATGTACCTGTAGTCCCAGCTACGCGGCAGGCTGAGGCAGGAGGATCAGTTGAGCCCCAGAGTTTGAGGCTGCAGTGACCTATGATGATGCCACTGCACTCTGGCCTGGGCAACAAAGTGGCACCCTGTCTCAAAAAACAAAAGAAAGAAAGGAAGAAGGAGAAGGAGAAGGAGAAGGAGAAGGAGGAAGAAGGAAGAAGAGGAGGCGGAGGAGGAGGAAGGAAAGAAAGAAAAAGAAAGAAAGAATAAAAGGGATTGTCTCTCTTTTTTAGAGGCAGAACCAGAGTTTTTCATAGAGATTCTTGTGCCTGAGAATATGAACAATTTCCTGTAGGGGCCCACCCTGCACAATGCTTTCTTTTGGTTCTTTTGAGCAGGGAGTCTTCACACATACTCCTTCTTTCCCCATCTAGGCCTGTGGGCAAAGCCTACTTTAAAAAAAATTAGTTATGGCAAATCAAATGGGGTGCAGCTTCAAATCCGAGCCTACCAAGTCTTTGACTCGGGCTGCCCAAAATCTCATGGTGCCTGGGAGTCTGTGACGAGGTTAAGAACTGCTGCTGTTCTCTCACCGATCTTGGACAGCACATTTTCACAGTCTCCTGAACCTGAAAAGCAGGTCTGAGGTGGATACAATTTAACGATGCTTCTATAGTGTGACTGAACAGACTGATAGCTTGTTCATTTAACTTTTTTTCTTTATAGTAACAGCTCACTGATGGAGAGTGGGTTGGGTGACATTATTGTTGCTACTATTAGGTAGCAGAATGACTAAAACAACCAAATGTAGCTTTAGAAAAATGCTCAATCCTAGAACCTGTGAAAATGTGTATAGCCAAACATTTATATAGTGGTACAATCTGATTGTTTTAACTGATTTTAGTAATGAATTTGGACTGGTTGCATTTTATGATTGACCATTATGATTAGTCATTATTATGACATGAAGAAAGTAAACTGGAAATAATTGTAAATTTTGACAATGGCCACGATTCAAGTCTTTCTGATATGAAAGAAGACAGAAGGCTAATTGCCTAATTGCCTAATTTAGTTTTGGTGGATTATAAATCTCTCAGGCTAATTAAGGAGTGAATTAGGCAGGGCTGAATGACTCAAGCTTTTTGGAGTTTAGCTTTTTTTTTTTCCTAAAAGAAATATGGCCTGCCTTAAAGATTTTGGTAAATAGAATTTGCAAAAATTAGTTAACATATGATAATAGCTTTGTGGGGGGCGGGGGGGGGGGAAACAACCTCTGCTCTTATTTCTTCCTAGCCTTAACATGATAAATAAACATGGATGGTGATTGTCCTGTATACGAGGCTACTCCTCTGTAAATATTTGCGCATTAATAATCTCTAGTAGGACCTCCAAGTAGCAGCACATGAGTTAATCAGCTCCAAGCCTTTTCTTTGCCATGTCTAGTTTTGGTTATATGTATTGCAAGGTCACCAATGTGTAATTAGTTAAAAAATATTTTCTATTTTCTACTCAGATCATAAAAGGAAGTGTTTCTAATACAGGCTGCACAAATTTTTATTTAGGCTTTGCAAAGCATTAGTTTATGGGCTTCGAGAATCATTCCAAAAAGCACAATGAAGTGTATACACCAAAGGTAAACAAGAAATTTAAGTAGGGCACCGAGAGGCAACGTTCTGTCCAAGTCTTACATCATTGTTGATGGTCAAACTGAATCAAATGACAAAACCAATTAGAATTTGGCTGTTCCACTTTAATTCCCTTTTATTTTTCCTAGAAAAATTATGAGTAACAGAAAATAACAGTATAAAATGTATATAGCAGTTAATATAGTCCAGCTCTTGTGTTTATCCAGAAAAAACTATGAATAATTCTTATCTCTTAGGAATTCAATATGTAATCATTCCCATTAATTAACATATTTATAAATATTATTTTTAAATGTTAGGAGCTTATGTTAAGAAATAATATTTGGAATTAATGAAATACTAGAGCTGCCCCAAGGAAAGCTAAGCAACTTGACATAGTGCTGATGCTGGGGGAATGCAGCTCTTGACTGAAGTCTCCCAAGTCCTTGGAATGACTTCAGCAATGACAGCAGTCAAGGACAGTTCACTTTTCAACTTCTTACATGGAGAAATTGTTCACAGATAAAGATTCAGGCAATCTTTATAATTCAGAGCTATCTCCAACAGAAACAGCATGTTCGAGTTCCATACATAGATAAATATAATGGGGGTCAAATCATATATATACATGTATGTGAGAAAATGGTGGGGAAATAAGAGAAACGAACTATATGAAGTGATCATATATTTGATCAAGCCATAATGAGGAAAGAATTATATTTGAAATTTATGAACAATCACTCTCTCCTACACTCATCCCTCGAATGAAAAATAAAGTCATTTTCTCTCCGGTGATCTGTTTCCAGTGTTTCCCATGTCTCATTGGGGAAGAGTTTGGGGAAAAATGGTAATAATGAAAGTTTGTTTTGTGTAGGCTGCCATCCAGTTACCAAAACTTTGTAGTTTAAAGTTAATTTTCTGAAAATATAGATGACTTCAACCCACACATTTCTTGATTGTGCGTGTAAGTTCATCTGTGTTATCAAATCTTCTACAGCAAGGATGCAATCCTTTATATGGAAATGGAGATAGCTTTCTTCTTGTTTGGAACCATTTTTGCTTCTGAAAATCATCTTTCCTGTATTTTGATAGGCACATTATACCTTTGAGCTATTTAACTAACAGTAAATAAAGATAAGGGTAGTGGTTTATTTGAGGATGCAAGCTTTGAAGGACCAAGAGCTCTAACAAGTACCTGTAATCTAGAGGAATGCCTTGTACAGAAAAATGCATAGGCCGGCTCATAGACCATGTTTATGGTTACATGGAAGGAGTTCACTCAATTGCTGGGAGTTGATCTAAACAATATCTAAGGACTCCTTTAAGCCTAAGATTCAAGTCTAAATTCATGAAAATAGAATTTATTTATTGATAGTGTGGAAAAATGAAAAAAATCTAGATAGTAAAATTTTATATCAACTGTTACTATAACTGTGCAAGAAAAGTTTCCCCCAGCCTAACCCTATGCATAGGGAAAAAGACCAGAAATAAACATACTAGTATTTTATTATTTGTGGCTGGGCTTGGATAGTAGGATATAGTTTTTTTTTTTTTTTTAATGAATAGATATTACTTTTAAAGTGAAAAGGAGTATTTTATTTCAATAGCAAAAATCACATAACTTAAAATAAAATGACTTAGGTTGAGAAACAAGAATTCAAATTTTGTATTGCTCAATGGCATTTTGCTCTTCATCTACAACGACGTCTTAAAGTACAATATATTGATGGCATGTGTTTCTCTGACTCACACACCTTTGTTGTCCAAAAGATTGCTCTGGAGTTGTCATTTTGAAAAAACAAACAAACGAACAAAAAAATCTATAACCGTAGCTAAGCTTTTCTCCAATCTCAGATTCACTGTCTGATTTCTATCACCACATTTTGTTCTAGTGTATGTGTGTGCTACAGGATTTTCAGAGAGTGGGTGATGAATTGCAACGTAGCTATTTTGCATAGGGAATAGGGAATGTCTGTCCTGAAGTACCAAGTTCTGTGAACTGGACATGCAGAAATCCAGCCTGAGAGTCTCCTTAGGAGAGGGAGTAGGAAGGCTGTGGCCCATTAGGAGGAGAACTGAAATTGTTCTTATCTCTGAGCCTTTCAAACACTGGCCTCTTGGAGAGGATGCTGGTGGGAATGAGTCATGACTCAAATTAATGGAATGTTCAAAGGCTCCGTCTGATTAGCTACTAGAGCCCTTAACCCAATCTTCACTTTTTTTTTTAATTATTGATGTGTTTGGTTTTTGGTTTTTATTTTAGTTTTTGTGGTTTATTTTTTTCCCTGAGAGAAATTATATGTACCCATGCCAGACAAAATCTATATGTTAGTATGAAACTTCATAGAGTTTTGGCACTATTCAATAGGGAATAACAAATCAAATAAAGGTACATTTCCCTAAAGAATTAGAAAATTCTTGGGCAGGCTTGTTTAACTAGAGCGTGGACAGAGTGTCCCCTACATACAGAGGACAGAGATCGTTCTGTCTGCAGGGCCTAGAAGCCATTTCAGTGGCAATAAGCACCCAGATCTCGGTTTCTCAATACCATTGTCCACTAAAAGGAACCAAGGCTCCTTGAAGCAATGGTTAATTCCAGAGCTGGGGCAGAAGAAGTATAAACAGAATCTGGAATATCCTTATGTTCTAGAAAGTAAGCGAGTGCTCGAAGGATGTTGAAGATTTGTCAGGAGGACACAGGAGCTGTCTTGAAGGGACTCGCTCTGGCGAAATCTGGGGCAATTTGAGCATCAAAATAAATAATGATATTAATGCATTATAATCCATTGAATAAAATAAGAATCTGTGGGTCCTTGTTTATATAAATAACTGTGAGAGAAGGGAAAACTCTTCTGTATAGTAGAATGCCAGTCAATACATGAAGAAGAAATAATAACAAATTTTAAAACACTAGTTTATAATAATCTTAGTAATGATTGGTTCAGGCAATGAATGCTAAACTAGTGGGTGAAAATTCAAGGAGGAATAGGACATTTATATAGTCTCAAAGTATTTCCCAACATATAATTGATTAATCGCAAAGGGAAAAACAGTAACTTTACAATGGAGAAATTGGCAGCCACCACCTTCACTAAGTCATCAAAATTAACACCATCAGAAATGGGTCAAAGCAATATGATGGGACCCCTGATGCAATGTCCAGACAAGGACACATCACTTTTATGATATCACTGCCAAAAATGCATAATCTGAATCTAATCATAAAGAAACACCAGACGAACCCAGACTGAGGGGCATTGTACAAACTAGTCTGTATTCTTCAAAGATGTCAAGATTGTGAAAGAAAAAAAAAGGTCTTTTTTTTTTTTAACCAATCTTGTTTCATTCTTTCCATTTGTAGTATCATAAATATCTCTGTTTCCTAGCCGCAAAATGCAGAACACATGGGCTAACAAATGATTGACAAAAGCCAGAGTATTTAAAATTAGGATTATATTTTAAAATACAACTTTTACAATAACCATTGTCATAAATTAATACTTACAAACTTGTGAAAGAGGCCTGTTTTGGAGCTACAACTCAAAGAATTACCCTTAAACTCTAATTCTGGAGAGATGTTAGCAAAACACCGCCTGTGGGTGGGGAACCTGTGGCCTCCAGATCCCCAAGTGCAGCCGCTCAACTGAATCCAAACTTCACAGAACAAATAAGAGATTTGTTCTGAAAATTTGAATTCAGTCAAAAGGCTGCACTCAAGGACCCAGAAGGCCACATATGGTCCCAAGGTGCAGGTTCCCACCTTTGCAGGACCTGCCAGGGTGGGAGGTGCAACTGGGACCGAGGATCGCTGGGGATTAGGTACTTTGGTCAAATCTGCCTGAGTGGCCTCATACCGTTACATGTCATATTGATGTAACTGGGTTTAAAAAATTAGGAGAAATTCTAAATGGAAAAATAACTTGCAAAAGGGCACAGTGAAACTTTGGATGTGTGCTTTATATGGAAAAGGAAATGCAGAATTCCATCTAGTTTGTCCAGGTGATGGTAAGAGGTTGGGTGGTCAGTAAATGCATATATTAGGCCTTAAATTTTCTTTTTCTTTCTTTTCTTTCTTTCTTTCTTTCTTTCTTTCTTTCTTTCTTTCTTTCTTTCTTTCTTTCTTTCTTTCTTTTCTTTCTTTCTTTTCTTTCTTTCTCTCTTCCCTCCCTCCCTCCCTTCCTTCCTTCTCTCTTTCTCTATTTCTCTCTTTCTTTCTTTCCATGATATAGTCTCCTTGTCTCATGTGTAGCCTCCAAGCGATAAACTGATGAAGGTGACAGAAAGCAGGAAGGCTTGGACATTACTGCAAAGGGATATAGAAAAGTGATAGCTCTGCCTTGAGCTAGTTTTTCTTCTTCCAGTCTTGTCTTCTATCCAGAAAATGTCAACTGAAGTGTTATTATTCACCGGCTCACCTAGTGTGCCAGGGTGGGCCAGCATCAGCACTCAGATCCCTTCTCATTATGTTTGTTACCTGTCCCATTCATTTCATGTTTTACTCACTTACCCTGAAAAGCAGAAAGTCTTATCTGATGTAAATGTTCCACTCAACTTTCAAGATCACTTTTACAATCCCACAGCTTGGGGTGGTTCCGGGGACCATTCTGAGACTTGGTTCCCGGGACTGGCCCCAGCAATGTTGGAAAATGCATGGTTCATCTCTGGGCCTCCTGTTCCTGTCATTCATGTCAGTTATTCGCTGAGTTGTAGGCTATGCCTGGGGCACTCCAAGCGAAGAGAATAGCCTCATGGTTCCTACCTTCGTAAATATTCTGTGTCCTGCTCACTCCATTTGGAGCCTGTTTTCTCTTCTTGCTCTTAGTGGTTTTAGGCTGAGACGCCACCTTCCCATCAGTCAAAAGTCTAGGACAAGCATCTAATAAACTCATTCCCTCTAAAGATTGTATTACTCAGGATGCTTCTTCTCCTGGAGAGATTGTGTTTTAACTGAAAATAAAGCTCTGGTCCCACATAATTTTTAATGACCCTTGTAATAGTAGTGAGGAAGGCATTCTTGGCTTCTAGGAAGCCCTGTCATGTAGGCAGCTTCCCATCTCACCAGCAAGAAAGGCCAGCAGACTTTCTGATTGCAGCCTGGGATGGGAGTACCACACTAATAGTAACAAGACCTACCACTTACTTGAGTAGCTCTATGAGCAACCCAATGTGCCAAGCTCTTTGCCTGTATTATTTTACTTAAAATTTTGAGAATCCCTAGAAGATACATGTACTTATGTTATTCTACAACTATTTTATGCAGAAGAAGACAGAGGTTTATGGAGACAAGTGGGAAACTTGAAGGACAAATTCAGGAGTTCATGATCCTGACAGGAGAAACCCTGCTAAAGCATAAAGTACACGTATGTTTTCAGTTCATTTTCATTATATTTATAGAAAAACAACACATTGGGAATATCCAATCAGTCTAGTAGGAATACTTGTTTCAAAAGGGATATTAAACTTATCTCTAAACCTTAGGAGCTTCTAAGTAGAGGTTCTAAAACCCTTTACTTAATTATATGTTTTAGTACATCACAATCAACGTTTGATTTAATTTCAGTTGTTTGGATCTTTTGAAAGTAGACATAGTCAGATAAGCATCAGATGATTAGTTTAATTTAGCTCATTAGAGTTGCCTCCAGGGGAAATCCTTTATTTTTTGTAATTCAGATACACTGGCAGAATATCACCATGATAACATAATGCATAACTCTTTTCACAGAATAACTCAATTATAGAACCCCAGAATTGAGAATTAAAGAAGGATGTAAAGTAAGATCTGGTGAGACCACAAAGGATTGAAGTTCACTATGACTATTAGATTAGAGACACCTGTTTCAAATGGTAGGTCTTATTTTTGGTTTGCTTTGTTTTAACACATTAAACTTCTTAGATTACCTCATGGTCATTTGGCAGAAGTCCATCATAAAAAATGAAAAAAAATCACTGGACTCTATGTACATTTAGCCAAATTCTTCCTCACGAGAACATAGCTGTCTTTCAACAAGACGTTCACCTACAAACACTTCCCCTTTTCCTTGATGTAAGGAAGCACAGATAATATAAATTCATCTCGGGAAGTAGTGACGGACAACTGCTTCATCAAGTGAAGCTTGTTCCAAGTTTTATATTTGCCTCCTCTTCCTCTTGGAAGGCATCCCCATCATTTAAAAGAAAATACAATGTCATATCATTTACTCTAAAATTCATACCTGGGGTTCTGATTCCAAGTTGATTTTGAAAGGGTGAGCTTTCCCATCTTCAGACACCTGTGGAGACCATAAGCGAGTTTCTGCTCTGTAAATAAAATGAAGTCTGTAAACTCCAAATTCTCACGGTACTTCCAGTTTTAGTATACTTTAATTTCCCACTGTGTTTGTGAAAATACTAGCAACCTTATTAATTTAAGCAAAAACAATATTTTTTGCTTATTATTCTGTATTTTCCCATCCAATTAGTTTTACATTTTTAGTGTCCTTTTGGGGGAATCTAGACTAAATCAAAACTGCCTGGAGCACACTGTGCAGTGTCTGGAGAAAGTAGGCCTCCAATGTCTGTGGGAAACAGCACAGCAGAGGGAGGTTCTGTCCTGCAGATGCTGGGAGGCGAGCTCCCTCGGTCTCCTCTTCTTCCCTCCTGCCTTACCCAGGCCACCTCAGGAGACAGTGAGTGATCTGCCAGGGGGATTTGCTACTGGCATCAAGGAAATGTGCCTTGTACAACCCTTCTCACGCATCTACCTGGGACTCTGTGGCTCCTAAGGGACTGCGTGCTTGGCAGGAACATAGGTTATGTATAGATTGGGAAAGAATCTATTTCACCCCATGAAATGACAGATTGGTGGACTGATTGATCCTTCCATACAACAGCAGGGAAGATTGTGAATATGATAGTAACAGGGTAACACAAAGATCCACTATGGTAAAAAACTGATTTCCATGGTTCAGTTTGAGATCAGGGTTCTGATGGCAAGAGATCAGGTTCAATTTCTTCATTTTTTTTTTTTTGGTCAGAAATGTCCCAGTATCTAACACACTCATTTTGCACATGCATTCTTATACCTTCTGGGTTGAATTCTGTACAAAACAGTCAAAGGCATACAGAATATTAGCAACTAATTTTGAACATGATCACCTTTTGGCAAGTCAAGAGATTCTTTTAGGAAAATCTCTAAATTCCATTTCATTCTCTACCACCTCGAGAACAGCCGTACAACTAGTCCCACTGTTCAGTGTTTATGTGGCCAGTGGTTATATTTTCATAGTCAATTAACCGAGTTAGTACAGGAAAAGAATTCTCATAGCCTCTTTCATTATTCTGACATTCCAGAGAATTCTTTTCAGAAATGATTTGCCAACGACTACTAGATTGACTGACTTTAGTGAAAAGCAGATGATAGTGGCTGATATATAAAAAAGCCAGTCAAAATTCTAGGCCCTGGGACACTCCTCCTTACTGGGAAGATGAAACCATTTATAGTTCTGGTTCAGGTTCTCCTGCAAAACAGATCAGATTTTAGCACCATTAATTAAGGAGCACCTGTCAATTTTGAGACACAGCTGGTGTCCTGCTGCTTTAATCCTGTCCTGTGCATCAGCATGAGTCATGGACTCTGTACCAAAGCCATCAATGGCCAGGATGACATCTCCAGGACACAGGTTGGCAGCTGCCGCCTTGCTTCCTGGAGTTATCTGGAAGAAATCAGGGCACCATTTAAAAACCAACATCCTGCAATTTCTTGAATTTTGTGCCTGACATTTTAATTTCAGCCTGGTAACATTTGCAATGTTTAACTGGGCAGAAAATCTTAAATCTAACTTACAATAACTCTTAACTGGTCAATTGTGTTATCTCTATTTTTACATCATGTTAAATAATTTTGTTTCTTACTAACCACATTTTGTCTATCATTGTGTCTGTTATTCTCTTTTAAAACATCTTTCATGATTCTGTCTGAATCATGTTTTCTTCATTTGAAAAATATTTTTTAGCTTTTTGTCATCCATAAGTCTCTATTTGAGAATAGAGTTTTATTAAATTTAGTCAACTTTTATATTTAAATTGAAACTGCTTTAACATCCCTATAATTTATCATCTTTAAAATTCATACAAGAGGCATGCAATGGGCTGAAAGTTTGTGTCCTCCCAAAATTCATATGGTGAAATCCTAACCCCCAATGTGATGGTATTTGGAGATGGAACCGTTGGGAGCTAATTGGCTCAGAAGTGGGATTGGTGCACTTATAAAAGAGACCTCAGAGAGCTCTCTCTGCTCTCTTTCCACCATGTGAGGAAGCAATAAGAAGTTAGCTGTCTGCAACTCGGAAGAGGTCCCTCACCAGAACCCAACCATGCTAGTACCCTGATGTGAGACTTCCAACTTCCAGCATTCTGAAAAATAAATTTCTGTTGTTTATAAGCTACCCAGTTTATTGAACTTTGTTATAACAGCCTGAACTAAGACAGGACACCTAGGGTGTAGAAATCTAGAGAAAGAATCACTCTTGCACTAACAAGAAGATGCCAGATAATACATAAAACTACAACTTTTCTTGAACTCTTCAGACAGCTGAAGTCACAGGGCAATGAACCTGAAATCTAAGGAAAGAGAGGTACCTCCAAGAAAAGATATGACATGAGCATGGGCTCACCTGTAGCAGAGCACAGAGGAAGATGTGGCCACCATACTAGCTGTTAAGAAGAATTCAGCTAAAATCATTATCAAATTGCTAAAGATTGAGTCTCAGTTAGCATGAGTGTATAGAACCCCTGAGAACCGCAGATACAAGGGAAGTTTGTATTCGCTCAAGGTCTCTTCTCCATGAATAAAGAACAGATAAAATAAATGGAAAACAACTAACAAGATGGTAGATTTTAATTAAACCATATCAGTTACATATCATTAAATGTAAATGGTCTAAACACACCAATTAAAAAAACAGAGATTGTCAAACCAGGTAAAAAAGCAAGATCTAATTTTATGCTGTCTACAAGAAAGCCACATTTGGGGCAGGGGGTAGGTAGGAATGAAAGGAATACTTAAGGATATGGGATATGGGAAAATATGGCTTTCCATATTTTTAAATGTTTAAAAATATAAAATTTGAAATTATTACTATGTTGAGTATTCAGTTAAAGGCAATGATTCTTTTAACCGCTATGCCTACTCCCAATTTGTCTGGGTAAATCCCAACTATATACCTCTTTCTAGACTCACATGGATCTTACCCTGTCTACTTCTCTCATGTCATTTTACATCATCCCTGTTCCACGTTATCCATGGTGCTGTGGCCCTCCTGATTTCCTTTCAGTTCCTCAAACAGGCCGAGCTTGTACTCTCTTTGGGCTTTATATGCACTGTTGTTTCTGCCTGAAATGCTTCCCCCACACTTCACCCAGTTGCTCCTGCTCAGACATTAGGTCTAGGCTCAAAGGCTACATTCTCAGAGAGACTCCCCCTAACATGTGAAGTAGCTTCTCTAGTTCCTCCCCCATTATTCTTCGCCAGTACACCTTATTCATTTCCTTCATGAAAACTATTTATACCTTTATGTTGGTTTATTTACCTATATGTTGTCTGTTCTCCCAACTAGAAGCACTTTAGGACATGTATAATATTATGTATATTTTTAATACTTCATAGTATATGCCCTAGTATTTAGAATTAATGAATATTTAACTGAAGGATGAATAAAAAGACTATTTAAATCATAGCTTGTAGAAAAAGTGTTAGTCCCCATATATCCAAAGGTTGTGGCTATTAGTGTCAACTTATCATTGTTATGTTCCCACTAGAGCAGAATAATACCTAGAACTTGACTTAAATCTCAAACTGCTCTAGGAATAAACTAGGTTGTTCCTTATGCTTTACTTGAGGATTAGTCATTAATTTATTTGATTTTTCTTTATTTGCTTATTCTAGCTATCTATTTAACTTTGTGGTTCTAACAGAGATCCATGTTAATCTAAATAAATAAAATTACTAAAATAATAAATTCTCATGTGTCCTAGATCTTATGCCTCATCACTAAAATGTTTACGTACTTATTTTATTTCTATGATCATCTCACTATAGTGACCATGATGATTTTCCAATAGGAACAGTTAATAGCAGGTGGGTGAAGGCACTAGGGATTATTACATCTTAGCCTTTGGAAGGCATTTCATACATGTTTTCCATTTAGAAATTCTCCCAGACCCAGAACTGCTAGAAGAACAAAAGTTTCCATCCCAAATGTGAGTTGTAGGGATAAAAATAATCTTAAACTTTTAATTTTCTCTGGTATAGTTTGTCAAAATCAGTACTTTCTATTTTTATTTTCTATTTTTTATAAGACCAGAATGCTTTTCTTTGAGTTAAAATATGATAAAGTATGTCTCAATGTGTTTGCTTTTAAAGCCCGACTTAGCTTTTCTAACATACTTAAATAGATTTAAGTTATGTAACAATCAATCTTGATTCGGAAAAGCCTAACTTTTTTTTAGCTTGAGTCAGGATGGGTGGAAGGTAGAGTTGTGTGTGTATGTGTCTATATCCATTTTAAACAGAGACATCTGAACTTAGATATTGAATAGCTATCGAATATCTAACTTAGAGATCTTAGATATTGAATACTACTAAAAGTTATTATTAATAACAATATTAATACTAAAGGTAATAATACCTTCTTATATTTATGCAAAATGTTATATTTGCAAAGTTCTTTCTCATACCTTTGACTATTAGAACAACTCTCTAAGAGAGGGCGGACAAAGAAGACTGCCTCTGTTTTTCAGAGGAGAAGAGGTGCCTAAGTAACCTGTGGTTTCCTGCTAAGTTGGGAGAAGCTACACAGGTATGTCACCAGCTCTTTCAAAGAACTCAGCTAGGAAAGGTGGTGGACAGTGATGGCCAGAACCCACTTCTGACTTTGTATTCAACCTGGTCATGCTGTCCACAGACCTCCAAGGAGGGAGTTGATGAGGAAGAAAAAAGTACAAAAAGAGAGGGATGAGAGAGAAGAAGAAAACATGGTGCCATTACTTCTTCCTAGTTTCCAAGTTGAGCTTGTCTAGTGATCAGACTGCTCAATTGACCTGGTTTTAGTAAGTTAAACTATGTTTAATCATAACAATGTATTATTTCCCAGTATTTCTTTAGACTATTACTTTATTATAATATTCTTACCTTATATTATATTATTACTCACAGTTTATTATTACTATGTTGTCCCAAATTAGGAGAAGAGAGAGCTGGAAATGAGGCATGGAGTTTTTCAATGGATTATTTATTATTTATGTTCATTGGGGTCTCAAATATCAAAAGTACTGGGGAGAGAATTGGACATAGTACTGCAATCAATCACTTAGCACCATGTTTTCAAGCTTGTCTGATTATAAGGGTCACCTGGGGTCCTTGTTGAACATAAAGGCCCCAATCCTACTCCAGATGTTTAGGATCAGGAATCAGAATCTCTAGGAGAGGAGCCAGGGAATTTGTGTTTTTAACAAGTGCCTCAGATGATTTCTATTATTCATATTAACCTATTATTGGGTCCATCTGGGGGAAAAAACTAATTTATAAAGCATCTATAGTTTTCCATTGATGTGGAAGACATAAGGGAAGTCAAAGATATGGCCCTGATGTGATTTTTAAGAATGAAAATTATTGAAATAGTTATGGCACAAGACAAGTATATACTGAAGTGCTGCATGGATGGAAATCATGAGAAACCCCATCATTCAGTTGTTCTCCATACCTACCAAATAAACTCCATATGCCTCCCTAGAATCTAAAGCCCTGTAGCATCTGGCTACAAATGACATTTCTAGAACCATATCTGATGCCAGTTATATGAGAATGTCTGCATGCACCTGGGCATGGGTATTTTCAAAAGTTTTCTGGGTGGTTCTACTTAATATGCTGCCAGAGTTGAGAACTATTGTATTATTATTGAGAATTGATATCTTGCTTAATTCTTAAGATAATCTTACAAAATTGTTATTTCTATATTAAGATGAAAAAACTGATGCTCAGAAAGTATAAGAAGTTTGCTTAGGGTCTTTCCCCTGATTTCTATCTCTTTGGCCATACTTTTCTGGTAGAATCCTGGGCAGGTTTGTATCATGGCAAGTTATGTACATGTCCCTTCTCTTCTACTGATACATGAACTTCTGAGGAGATGGAAACCCAGCCAAATTATATGTGTGCCCTCATAGTGCCTTTCACATACAAGACATTCAAGTAATAAGATATTTGTGGGATGTATGAATATTATGAACACGTGAACCAGTGCTTTCATGTAGACATGGTCTTTGTTAGAACACAATTAAATAGGCTTTTATTCACATCAACCTTTCCACTACACTTGTTTTGGCCTGGAAAAGAACTGCATTCAACTGCAAACAGTCCTTTCTAAAAGTTTAAATTTCAAATCCAGTTTATAATGAAGTCATACATTTTTCTATGTTAAAGTCTTCAAAACTTAAGAATACACTAACATTTTCTGTGTTGGTACTCAAGTTCATATAGCACTATCAGTTACAACCATATCGATCCTGGGTGTGCTCTAGACAGGAAGGAGGGAGATGTGGAGAAGGGAAGGAGGGATTGTGAGAGAGACAAACTGGCATCAGATGTATGCAATCATTTTATGTCATGTACACAAAAGAAGCTTGTCCTGTACACTAGTCCTCCCTTATCTGTCATTCGCTTTCTGAGGTTTCAGTTACCTGTGGTCAACTTCTGTCTAAAAATATTAAACAAAAAATTCCAGAAATAAACAATTCATAAGTTTTAAATTGTGTGCTATTCTGAGTAGTGTGGTGAAATCTCACAGCCATCCTGTTCCATCCCACCCAGGTCCTGAATTGTCCCGTTGTCCAGCATATCCACACTATAGATGCCATCTGCCCGAGTCACTTAGTAGCTGTCTCAGCAGATCAACTGTCATAGTATTGTGGTGCTTGTGTTCAAATAACCCTTATTTTACTTAATAATGGCCCCAGAGTGCAAGAGTAGTGTGTCTGATTTATAAATTAAACTTTATCATAGGTATATACGTGTAGGAAAAAACCTAACATATATAGGGTTTGGTACTAGTCTCAGTTTCAGACATCCACTGGCAGGGTCTTGGAATGGATCCCTCTTGGGTAAGGGATAAGGGGCACTATCATACTCCTCAGGAATTTTGTGAAAGAAAATCTGTAACTGTGAGAGTAAATCCACCTTCTTGATGGTCGAAAAACTTAAGAGAGAGACTTCTTAGAACTTTCTTGAAAGAAAGAGAACAGATGCTCACTTAGAGAGGTGAACCTTAAAATTTACTCTGTGAAATGCTTAGGCCAGTTATACATGGTGTTTGAAATAACAACTCCTCCCCCCCTCAACTGAACATCCAAAACTTAAATTTTATATTGTATTAAGTACAGCACATTTATGGCCCAGAACATGCTTTCCTACAAATTGTGTGTATGACAAGCAATTGCTAAATTTGTTTTGAGAATGTCTGGTGTTTGATATACCTGACTTTTGATTTTTTTTTTATGATACAAAGACTATCTGGATGATTAACTGTATTGTAAACAATTATAGGGTGGGGCCCTTTGTCCTAATTTTGTGAACTGTAATTTCAATTGATGGAGAGGGTTATATCTGTTACCCTTCCACAAACTCTGGCTGGAGCACCATTGTCTAGGAGTATTGCTATAGTCTGTACTTGTATAGTGTGAGGCAGGGAGGGAAGGGTACAGTTTGTAGGAGGAAAAAGTTGATTTAATGGACTTGAGGAAATACATCTCATTTATGGGACTTTTTGTGGTATTGAGAGTGGACATTGGTATTTCAATTCTTTGTATTCTTAAGAACTTATCTAACATTGACAAATCAACTAATAATAAAACGATTCTCATTTATCTTTATTGTAGAGTATTTCTGAGAAAACATTCTGCACTATTCATGATAACAAAATTATATAAAAAATGAACGATCTAGTCAATCGGTCATACTGTGTCTATATTTATTCTACAACATATACAGTGTGCTAGACACTGTGCTAGGCACTGAAAGGCCCCCAAATCAGAAAGTTCCTGCCTTGAGAGAGCATGCAGTCTGGTGGGAGACAGATGTATGCAAACATCTGTGGGGCAGGCATGATATAAGGAGAGGTTATAGGCCAAAAGCTATGGTAATCAAAAGGATGAAATGGTTGTCACAGGGAGAAGGCTCGGGAGAGGCGCTTGAATGAGTTTCCGTCGGCATAGAGGACAGTGGGGTGGGTGGGGAGAGGAGAAGTCAGGAGCAGACATGTTAGAGAACCCTAATCCATGCAGAGTAGCAGTACCACTGCCTAGGTGTGGAGTGAGAGGAGGGAAGGGAGACAGAAGGGAGAGAGAGGGAAGAAGGAGAGTGGGAAATGCAAGTTGGGAGGGCAGATGGTGAAAAGCCCTGAATTCCATGCTAAAGACCGTGAGTTTTATTCTCTATAAACTGGTGATATCACTGAAGGATTTTAAGAATGGGAGAGAGAGAAGCAACTTTATATTTTCCAAAGAAGGCTGGGAAGAATATGCAGGGGGAATTCCTGGAGGGGGAGACAAATGTCCAAGTGTGAAGTTAGGAAATCTCGAATAGGGACAGTGGTAGGAAAAAAATGGAAAGTGGTAGATCTTGAAGACATAAAATCAGTAAGACCAGTGATGAGTTGGATGGCACAAAATAACTCTTTGGAAATATCGTGACAATAAGTGGAATTTTTCACATGAGTGGACTTCAGAATGCAGGCTTTGGAGGCAAACAGACCTGGCATCAAATCCTGTCCTATCTCTTATGGTCATTGGCAGGTCAATGAACCCTTTGAAGCCTTATTCTCCTCGTCTGCAAAAGATGATGTCACTGCTACTACTATCATAGGATCATTGTGAAATTTAAGTGAGTCAGTGCATGTAAAGGGCTTAGAAGAATGTGTGGCAAGCAAAAGAGTATAATAGCACACATACAACTTTATTCACTATTTTTTAAAATAATACAAAAATTATAAAAGTAATAAAATAATTCTACTACCTAATAACACCGACAATTATTTTTGTGTAATACTTTTTAGTCTTTTTCCAAATGATTTTCAGTATTCTTAAAATTTCAGTGGAAATATTTTAAATTAGGTGTTCACTAAAGCATAAAAGTTCAAGTGCATATTGCATGCATTTATTCAATAAGAATCTACTACGTCCATAGCTTTGGGGACACTTGGGATACAAAACAGTTTACTTTTACCTGTTCTCCTGGAGTTAAATTAACTAAAGAGAAAAGGCATAATCAAGGGAAATAATCATATCTGGTCATGCACTGTTACTGAACCAAGTGTCAAAATGAGTGACACAAATTAGTTATGAGTTAAAAATTCCAGACAGAATTGGCTTCCCAGTTGATAATTAATTGTCTTTATATCAAACACATTTACCAATAGCTTCCATTGTTCAACTCCAGAATGTAAGTACTGCTTTAAAATAAATGTTTATATTATCAACATGAAATTTCAAACATATGATTAAATTATATTGACACATCACATGGTATCAGCAAAATATTTCTTTTTAAATCTTTTAAATGATTTTTGTGACAAAATTATTTATTTATGATTTAATATAAATATGATTTATTCTTTGTTAGGATTCAAAAACTTATTTCTTTTAATATAAAAAAATGAAAACTATACTCCAGAAACTGAAAATATTTCTTAGTAGAGATAATGGAAACTGTTTTCTTTGGTAAATCTATAAAAGGAATTGCTTGGCCCAGATTACTGAAGCGTTTTCTGCTTAATTTACTTAGGAACATTTTTTTGGGGTGGTTTAAACAGTCTTCATGTCTCATATAAAAACACATGTCAGATGTGTTTATATGTTTTTGAAAAATGTAAAACAAAGCTTGAAATGTTTCATCGTACCCTTCTATATGACACATGCTTTGAGAAATTTTAAAAAGGACGTTGGTTCCCAAATCTCATAGACATCTATAAATAGAACAGAATTTGAAAGGTATTACCTTGTTCAAAATCTATATGAGCAATCAGATTACAAAGTATACATTTATAAAATACAGTGTAAGCAGCAAGGAGAAGAAAACAAAGTATAAAATTCCGAAAACAGAAGTATAATATTATGAAAGCTTATGCCTTTAAATAGGTTTCAAATACTTTATATGTGATAACTAAAAGAATAATATTAATTTTCTATTAAGAAAAACACTTATGTTAGAAAAAAAATCAACTAGACCAAATAATGCTTTAGAATTAATTGTAGAAATTTACTGACAGGAGAGAAACGCTGAGGTTTCATTTTTACTTTTTTATTTTTCACAATTAGACAATACTCTTGAGAACATTAAGTTAAGAAAAGCTTGACTTTGATATTAAAGTATTAGTTTCAGAGTCATTAGCCTGGGTGGGTACTTTCCACCAGGTAAACTAAACTATCTGACAAGTTTTCTTTGTAATTTGAGTTATAGGTGATGATTCCTAAGCCAAGTTCCCAGCTTTGGAAAATATTTATTCAACATGCCTGGAAACTCAGGAATACGCATTAGGGATATTTTCTCTGTCTGGGCTGATATGAACGGTTCCAATTTGGCCAACCCAGGTTGTGCCCTGCGGACAGCGCGGCTGCTGACGTTTTCATCCAGACAAGGAAAACGCCTGGATGCGCGTCTAGCTCCAAGAAATAACCGCGGCGTACAACCGCGTGTCAGTCCTCCATTCCTCCTTCCCGGGCCCCACCTGTTTGCGCCTGGAGGGAGACAGGGTGTGGGGGGCGACAAGGCACCCCAGCCCTCGCAGCCTCGCCTTCCCTGAGCCAGGGGGAATCACGCCGTCACTTGACCTCTCCGCGGAAAGTTGCCAGAGACCCAGAGGATGCGGAGAGCTTCTGAGCTGACTTTGTTAATCCTCTGAGCCGCTCCGCATCCTCCGAACTTCAACTTGCCACAGAGTCGCCGCCGCCCTCGACCTGGGAGCCGCAGCCCAGGACCCACCGGCGCACAGTCCCGCCCGCCCCACCGGGGTTCCCGGCTACTCTCTGCTCCAGGGGACCCCTGGCGTCTCCCCGGACGCCAGAGTCCCCGACTTGCTGCAAAAGCAAGGCCGGCAAATGCTTACCCTGGTGATGATCAAAGGCTGGTTGAAGTCGATGCCCCCCGAGAGTCTGAAGCCCCAGGGCGCAGGGCCCGGGAGGACCACCGTCTGGGGCATGGTGCCTCCTGGCGCTGCCTTCCGCGGGGCGCAGCGAGGGGCGGCCCTGCCCACCGGGAGTGTCCCCGTCCGCGGCGGGGGAGCTTTATCACGGCTCGGGGGTGACGTCACTGGTCTCCCCTCCCCCCCGCCCCCTCCCACCAAGGAGAGCTCCAACTTTGGAAGTAAGAGCCGGGCCTGAGCCGCGGGAGTCACAGCGCGCCGCTGGGCGCAGCCTCCCGGACCCTCTGGCACGCGTTGGGGGAGGCTTCGGGTTACAGCTCCCATCACTCTTGAAGGAACACCTGTCCTGCTGTTTATCTCCTGCTTGCGGCTCAGCAGCGCACTTGAGGGGAAGTTAAAAGCCGTCAGACCACAGCCTTCATGCTTTCGATTAAAATAAGAAACAAGCATCATCAATACAGCAAGCTATTTAGCAAATCTGAGTGCGGTAATATTTACTTACTAGATCTATGACTTTGGCTAAGTTACTTAACGTCCTTCAACCGCAGTTTCCCCACCTGTCGAGTAGGGGTAATAGCTGTACCTACCTTGTAGGGTTACTGTGAGAATTTAATAAGCACTTCTGCACAGTACGATTCTCAATAAATATTAAACATTTCTACAATTGAAAATATATGTACATATTTACATATATTTATGGGTATATAATATACATTAATTAATACATATATAAATATACTTAAATTTTTTTATAAATGAAGAAATCTAAAAGTGAAAATGTGCAAACATATACCCTATCCGATGAATCATCTATTATAGAAGTTCGTATGAATGGACGATGAATCAGTACACTCAAAATATAAATACAAAGAATTTTGAGTGGAGCGGTTGTCACCTCCCTCAACTTTGGTCTCTCTGCACTATGTTTTGGATACATGAGAGGGGAGTGTAACCATAACCTAGGGGTTGAGGCTGCCCTGTGGGTAGGAGGTGCAACCAGGGTGAGGGTGCCCAGTGGAGTGTGAGTAAGGTGGACCAAGAGGACCTCAACACTCAATGAAACTGCCCACAGGAGAAAGGAAAGGCTGAGTATTCGTAGAGCATCTTTAGGGTCCAGGTGCTATAGTGATTGCTTTACACGTGTGATCTTGGTTTATCCTCACAAGTTCATCAGATTACTATTATTAGTCCCAATCATTTATTTTTTTAAGGTGAGGAGATAATTTCTTAGAAGTTAAGTAACTTGCCTAAGGTCACACAGCTAATGAATAGTAGAGCTGAAATAGAAAACCCAGGTCTGCCTGACTTCAATGTCTGCCTGGTACAGGAATAACGATCAGGAGGGCCTGGGTGGGGTCCTGTTGTGATCTCGGTGTGGAATCAAGGATTCCCGGGGGTGTGCATCAGGATGCTCTGATTCCCAAAGAGAGCAGGGAGGACGAGGGAAGAGATGCATGAAGTGCTTTTAAAACCCAAGAGCAAGGCTGCTGGGCATAATAATGTCCAATACGACAGGGCCGTATCAGTCTAGGAGAGCAGAGCCATATCATTCCTTTAAAAGAGCAGTTTGTTTGGAAGCAGTTTCAAGACTGATGGAGAAAAGAGAAAGAAGATACAGGAAGCCGTAAGCAAAGTGAACCAGCCTGGGAAAGCGTAAATCCCCAAACCAGGATGGGTAATACTTCGTCACTGCAATGGATTATGTAAAAGTCCCAGGGGACAGGCGTCTTATAATTCCAGACATTTCCCCGTGTCCCACCTGTGTTGTTATCAGGGACATAAGCATATGTTCTTGCTGATTTCACTGGCTATATTATTGCACAGCACATTTCTCCTGTCCGTCACTGGCTGTGTCTGTATGGTACAAACATACACACACATGCACACACGCAGAGGTCAATGCAGAAAAAAAATGAGACAAGTTATTTGGTGTTGTGTAATTGTTTATACCTTACCTCATGAGCACGTTTATATAACCAGTTGCTTATGTGATTTTTTTCTTTGTCTTTTTACTGGTCGTTTTGGCATCATTTAGATGTAGGCAACATCTCTACGGCAGCAGTATAATACCTTATGAGTTCTTAAGGCTTTGCAGAGAGTGGGGAAAGCAGGGACATGAAATATCAGTTTTTCTGTATCCTACTGTTCACTGAGACCAGCAGGAAAGTATCCGAGGTGACTGTAGAGGTAGAGGTGAGAATAGCTGCGAGGGAGAATTCTAAGGATGAAGCACTGGCCCCAATCCTAATTACTCCTATCTGCTTTTAGTTTGAGTGTTGTTCTAAGGAAAGGTTCTTTTTGCATGACTCTTTCATTTGTTTTCTTTTTCCCTTTTTAAACAAAACAGTGGGGCAGTGTTTTGTACAGTGGGTGGAATAAGAATCAACTGTCCTTGGGAAAGATGTCAAGGAAAGCTTCCAGAGGAAGGGATGTTAGAGCTGGATCTTAAAGGGTAAGTATTTTCCACGTGGCTGGAATTGGGAGGGGAATAGAAGGGAGGACATTTAAGGCAGAAAGAACTATATAGGATGTGCAGTGGCAGGGTGACAAGGAACAGATGGCAAATTAGGAAATAACAAGTGATTTGTATGAATAGAACCTAGCATGTTGGATAGAGACAGGAGACAAGGATCATAGTAGTCAGGGGCCGTAACAGTAGAGGGGATTTTGTATGTTACACTAAGGTTTTGACTTTATCCTATGGCCAGCCTTTGAAGAGTTTTAAGGAACATGTATAATGGTCAGATTTGCATTTATAAGCATCATTCCGGGAGGCGGGAGGATGACTGACAATTGAAGGAGATAGAAAGCAGGGCGTCCAGTTAAAACTGCAATGATGCAGGAGAAGATGTGGACTGGGGCAGTGGGGATGGGGAGTGGGCAGCTACGGGAACTACTAAGAGGTTAACTGGCACAATCTGGGGACACATCTCACGTGGGATTAGGGAGAAGTTAGGAGATTTGGATGGCTCCCAGACTTCTGCACTGGGGTTTACATGAATGGTGGGATTATTAACAAGGAGAAAATGTGTAGGAAATACAAGATAGTTTTGTTTTAATTAGGGAGTGGTGGACTAGAGCATTGTTTTAGTTGTGCTGATTCTGAAATGCCTGTACAGTATCTGTGCCATGTGGTGTACTAAGACGAAGATTTGGAGCCAGACTAGGTGGTATGCTAGCTCCATTGTACTTGATGTGTGATCTGAAGGCAAGTTATTGAACATCTTTGTTAAAATAGTGTTAATAATAGTATTTGCCTCCTAGAGTTACTGTGAGGTTTACACGAGTTAATAGCATACTTAGAAGTGTTCCTGACACATGCTATATGTGCATATAATCATTTGCTACTATTGTTATTAGTGGGAGTGGTGTAGTGAGCAATTGGATATATAAATGTAGAGTCTGGGCTTGAGATGAATATTTTGGAGTTATAGTTGAATCTGTGGTTATAGGTTAGACGTTTTTAAAAAGTGATTACAAATTCTTTGACATCCTTCATTTTGAGAGGTAGAATACATGTCCTGTCCCCTTGAACTTGCATAGATGTGTGACTCTTATGTTACTATGAAATGAGGTGAGAGGGACACAGACTTCTGAGGCTGGGTCAGAAAAGGTGATGTAGCTGCTGCCTTGTTGATTGTAACACTTGTGCCTGACACCCCGAGTTGCCAGGTCAGAGCTCTGGGGAAGCCCAGGGTGCACGGAGAGTTCACATGTTGGTACCACTATTGGTACTCCCAGACCAGGCACCAGATATGTGAGTAAAGATCTTTCTTTTCAGTCTGTCTTAGTCACTTTGGGATGCTATGACAGAATACCATAGACAGGGCGGCTTAAACAGAAAACTTTATTTCTTACAGTCTGCAGCCTGAGAGGTCCAAGATCAAGGTGCTGGTAGATTTATTATCTGGTGAGGGTCCTCTTCCTGGTTTGCAGACGGCGGCCTTCTTGCTGTGTCCCTGAGAGAAAGCACTAGTCTTCCTCTTCTTATAGGAACATTAATCTTATCCTGGGGGCTCCAACCTCATGACCTCCGCTAAACCTAATCACCTCCCAAAGGTCCCACCTCCTAGTACCATCACATTGTGGTGGTAGGGTTTCAACCTATGAATTTTGGGAGGACACATTCTATCCACAACACAGTCTTCAGCCCTTAAGTCACCCCCAGCCTCTGGGTCCCCTCAGCTCAGTCTGCAGACATTGTGGGGTGGAGAGGAGTCATCCCCACTTACCCTCTCTAGAGTCTTACCCATAGCATCTGTGAGCATAATAAAATGGTTGTTTTAAGCTTCTAACTTCTAGGATAATTTGTTACAGAGCAACAGTAAGAGACATAGGATGAAATTGCCCAAGGAAGTTAGGTATGCAAGGCAAGAAGAGCGTCTGCTCAATGATTGAACCCCAAGGAACAGCAGGAACAGCAGCATTTAAGGGGTGGGAGAAAAAGAGGACCAGAGAAGAATATGCTTTTCTTTTATAAAAAGGTCAAAGAAAACCATGAGAGCGGTGGTGTGGAGGACAAGTGAGGAGAAAAGTTCGAGGAGAGAAGGCGACTGGGAGAAGGAGGTGAAGGTCAAGTTGCAATGGTGAGTACCGGTCAGATCTGGTGGTTCTGACGTTATTGGAGTCTCAGGGCAGTGCCACCAGAGTGGGGTGAACAGAGACAGCCTGTGTGGTCTGAAGAGTAACAGAGGGAGGTGAATAAGGAAAATCCATGCAAAGAATTTGTTAATAAAATGGAAGGGGAGAGCTAGGATCCTCCACTGAAATGGGCTCAGGTATTTTTGGTTTTAGATGGGGGGGGGAGCTTTGTGACTGTTGCTGACGTTGGAGGAAAGAAGATTCTGAGAAAACAGAGCAAAGACACGGGTGGATCAAGGCCAGGGATTGGTGGCAGCGGGAGTACCAGTGTCCCCAGGTCAGACCCCTTCCTTCTGAGAACGGCTGGAGTTCCCATAAACCGAGGTGCGGTAACACTGCGTTAATAGATGATCCAGTTCTCTAGTTCATTTAAATTCTCCCTGCCTCCTTCAGGCCGTCGGGGACGTCTCTGGATGGTGACAAGTGCTCTGTGATCGCTTCCCTGCCAACCATC